TTTTTTTTTTTTTTTTTTTTTTTCAAAATGTTCCTTAACGTGCTACCAAACGTGCCTCGCGCGCGCGCGTCGAAATTTCTTCGACGCTCTCTCGCGCGCGCTGTCTCCGTGACTCCGTGCAGAGATGGGGCGGGGTGCGCGCTCGCATTTGTCTTCGGGAGGGGGGCCTTCGATTGTGCAGGGGTTTCAAAGTCGAGCGCCCTGAGAACATGCCGCGGCGCATGTTTCTGCAATATCAAAGTCTAAAACGAACGGCCTGCGCTCGCGCTCCCGCGAATTCCTGGGCAACCCATCGGTTTCTAAGCAAATTCATTCTAATCTGCCAAACGGGCCTCTCGCACCGCGTGTCGAAATCATTCGAGCGCCCTTGCGCGCGCGCTGGGGGGTTGGGCGCGGGGGCGGGGGCGGGGCGGGGGGGGGGGCCTGGGCCAGGGGGGCGGTGGCGGGGCGGGCGGGGGGGTGGGGGCGTGGGGGGGGGGATGCGCGATCCGCGCTGGTGAATGCCATATTGTGCCCACTCTCGCGCGTCGGCCGCGCGTCGTGTCGAACTCACTTCGAAAACTTCATCGCCTGCGCGAGGGCGCCGTCGTCGTCGTCGGCGTGGTCGGCGTCGGCGCCGTCGCCGGCCTTGTCGTCGTCGTTGTCATCCTCGTCGCCAACATCGCCGCCGTCGTCGTCGCGTCTACCGTTGCCGACGTTGCCATGATGCCACATGCCCTTGTCGCCGACTCGCGCTGAAGTGCCCGGTGGAAACTGCCCGGCGGTCATCGCCGCCGCGGCCGCGTCGGTCGCGCCGAACTAGCCGGCCGCTGCGCGCGCGAGCGCGCGCGGGCAGGCGCGACCGCAGAGATGCACCGGTCAGAGCCAAGCACTCATCGCAATCGCCGTCGCATGGGTTTTTCTAAGCCTCCTAGATGGGGTCCGAGTAAATGGGGTCGGAGGATAGCGCCGCATCGCCGATGCATCGACGATGTGGCTCGATGTGGGGCCCGCTTTTCCCCACGCTGACGTCGCCGATGCATCGCCGACGTCGCCAGTGCATGGCCGACGCATCGCCGATGCATCGCCGACGCATCGCCGATGTACCGGCGAGGCAGCGCGATCCTCCGACCACATTTACTCTGGCCCCATCTAGAAGGCCTCCAGCTTTGCAAACCAAGTTGCGGGGCGGCGGTTGCGCGAGCAGCGGAGTTCACAACTCAAAGCGAACGTGAGTTAATTGCACCAAGCCGATTTTCCTTCTAGAGGAGGAAATTGGATCTGCCTCCCCCGCACCCCCCGCGGCCAGGATTGCCACCCCGCCTTCTTCGCGCTGCAATTTGCGTGCTTCCTCCCCATCGCCCATCCTAACCGAGAATTCATGCCGCCCGGACCAAGCCGCGGTCGACGCCCCCCGCCATCCTCTGCCAAACGCGCTCTGCTCGCGCGCTCGCTCATCGCAACTCAGAAGTTATCAAGAGCCCTCGCAAAATGAAAAAGGACGAAGGGCACTCGTGCGCGCCGTCGCGCGCGCACTCAGACACCCTTTGAAGACCCTTCAGATCGAGTTTCCCGAAAGTATATGCAGCACGTGGTATTGCAACGGCAGTTTTCGGGAAACAAAGCTCTGCGCGCTTCTGCTAAGTCTAAAGGGGACGGCTGCTTTTGGTTTCTGGAAAAACCTTTCATCGCATTCGACCACCCCTCGCCCCCCCCGCGCGCGCATGGTGAAATCCTTGGAACGCCCTTGCGCGCGTTTTGAGGGGCGGGGCACGACCCTTGTTAATGATACCATGCGGGCCACTCGCAGGCGTCGGCCGCGCGCTTTCACCGCCGACGTGAGGACACCATCATCGTCGTCGGCGTTGTGAGCATCGGCGCCGTCATTGGCCTTGCCGTCATCATCGCCGTTATCGTCACTAGCATCGCTATCATCTTCGTCGTGTCTACTTTTGTCGTCGTCCCCATGGTACCGCGCCCGCCGAAGTCACCGACTCGCACGGATGTGCGCGCGCATCAGCGCGGTCTGCGAGACGCGTGCCACTACGGTCGCGTCGGTCGCGCCAAACTCGCTGGTCGCTGTGCGCTCCAGCATGCGCGGTCTAGCGCTGCCGCAGAGATGCATCATACATCACCAAGCACTAATCGCAATCGCTGCTGCATGGGCTGTTGCAAACCAAGTTGCGGGTGGGTGGGTGGGATGATTGCGCGAGCAGTGGAGTTGGCAATTCCATGTGTTCAACACGACTGTGCCGCATAGGTTGCACCACATTCAATACACCGCGTATATTGCACCACGTATATTGCACCATGAAACCAGAGTATGTTGGAGCACTTTGTTTCGGGTCCACGGTGGTTAGCGTAGTTTCATCGGGGTAAGTGGCCCAATAGACGCGACCGCCTGAGAATCTTCATTCGTGCCAAGACACCGTTCCTGGGATTCTGGATCAACGTGATGGCTGCGTTCTGGAAATCCTGGACTGTGTCAGAACACCATGTCGCGGACTTCAATACCGCGAATCAGCGTGACTGTTGCGCCCTGGCAATCCTGAGTCGTGCCAGAACTTCACTTGGCCTTCGACCATTCGGTTCGTTGAAAACTGCTGTGGCCTGACTATGCGATTGTGTGCAACAGTAATACCATAACCACATTAAGATAGGAACCGCCCTCCATTTTCGATGCTGTTGTACACGGTTAACGAGAATGTGTGCGGCGCTGAGGTTAGAACCATTTGTTGACACCCGCCTTCCATCCGCGAAGCGGCTGCAAATGTTTAAAGCGAGTGTGCGCGTCGCTGAAGCGAAGGCCACACGCTTTGAAAAAACGCCCGTCCCCCATCCGTGCAGCTGTTGCAAGTTCTTGGGAAGCGACTGTGCGCGGCGATGAGGCGAGAGCCGCATTTTGAAAACCACCCGCCCTCCATCCGTGAATCGGTTGCAAACTTTTCAGACACATGTGCGCCGCGATCAGGCGCCAGCCACATTTTTTAACACCACCCGCCTTTCACCCGTGAAACGGTTGCATATTTCAAGCTTCAGGGTCGTACGTGGCGAGGGAGTCTCAGCCGAATCGCCCAGTTCGCCCGACGGACACGTCGGAGGAGGAGGACGAGGAGGGCTATGAGGAGGAAAAGGAGGAGGAGAAGGAGGAGGAGAAGGAAGAGGAGGAGGAGGAGGAGGAGGAGGAGGAGGAGGAGGGTCAGGAGGCCCAGGAGGCGGAGGATGATGATATGAAGAGGCGGAGGAGGAGGAGGAGGAGGATGAGGAGGAGGGGGAGGAATGGGAGGTGAAGGAGGAGGCGGAGAAGACGGAGGAGGAGAATGAGGAGGAGGCGGAGGAGGAGGAAAAGGAAGAGCAGGATGAAGAAGAGGATGACGTGTGCGGAAGAGCAGAAGCTCTCGCCACCGCCCCTGACCATCATCATCACCACCATCATCACCATCATCACTATTACCATGATCCTCAACATAAGGATCATCCTCATCCTCATCCTCATCATCTTCATCATCATCATCATCATCATCATCATCATCATCCTTCCTCATCATCATCACTATCAGCATCCATCGTCATCATCACCACCACCATTCCCATCATCATTATCATCCACCTCCTCCCCATCATCATCATCATCATCATCATCGTCATCGTCATCGTCATCATCATCCTCATCACCATCACCATCATCATCATCATCATCAACACCATCATCATCATCATCATCATCATCATCATCATCATCTTCATCATCGTCCTCATCATCATCAGCCTCATCACCATCACCATCACCATCATCAACATCATCGTCATCGTAATCACCATCGTCATTGTCATCGTCATCATTATCCTCATCACCATCACCATCACCATCACCATCTCCATCATTCTCATCACCATGAACATCAATATCACCAGTATCCTCCTCCTCATCATCATCATCAGCATCCTCCTCCTCATCATCATCATCATCATCGTCATCATCATCATCGTGATCATCGTCATCGTCATCGTCATCGTCATCGTCATCGTCAGTGCCCTCCGCCTCGCTCGGCCCAGCCTGCCAACTGCAGGGGGGGTGGCCTGCTCAGCTGCTTCGGCTCTGCATCCAGACCTCGGCGCCGCCTGCCGCCTCACGGGGGCCTCAGCACATGAGAGTTGTGCTCACAAATAGTTAAGTTGGAGAGCCGACGTGACTCAGTGTCAGAGGCGTGCACGGTTAGAGGAGCACCGTCTTCAAACGGACCACAGTAGAGCCATGAGAGGAATGAGAGAGCGCGCACGCTCGGAGCGGAAGCCCACATTCCACCTCGCTTCCTTCCTTCAGCTATCAGCCCTGGCTCCAATGTGCGAGAGTATTCAAGAAGTCGAATGCAGGACAGACGGCAGGGCTATCGGGATGACGACGCATGAGGAGAGGAGGGCAGGAGGGAAGGAGGAGATACGAGGGGTGGCGAGGTGGAGCGGCAGGAGGGGAAACATGTGCAGGTTAGAAGTTGTTAGAAGGGGTGGAGGAGGATCGGATCGGATGGACCATTCACGGAAGCAAGGTGCACGACCTTGACAGTCGGGGGGGTGCAGCATTATATGTAGCACTGCAGCCCAGGACGCCCGCCTTGCGGGCTCATCTTACCCCCCGAGCCTGCTTCAGATGGTGAGAGAAAATAGAAGGAAAAGAGGGACCGAGGAATCCCAGATGACTGAAAATACCTCCGACCCCCCTGAGAACTGCTTAGCTGCAGGGGAGTCGCGGCCTACACGGCTAGTCAGAGGAGCTGGGGGGGGAGAGGGGCGGGGGCGCTCCAAGGTCAGCCCCCCCTTGGGAGATGCGCAGCATCGCATCGACATGGCCTCCCTCCCCCCCCCGCTCAGAGGGAGGCGGCCGCGCTGCAGTGCGCACGGGCCGTGCTCGGGCCCGAGGCGCATCGCCGACGGGGCAGCCCGCGCCAGGGTGGGGCCTCCGCGCGACGAGGCGCGGGCCGCCCCCTGCGCGCGGGCCCGCGCCTCGCGCCTGCGGGCCCCGCATGCCCCGGGCAAGGCGCCCGCGCAGCCGCGGAGACCGATCAGGATGGAACCCACTGGGAGGTCAGATTAGGCATCGGCGCTGGTGAGTCCCTGGCCGAAAACTTGCCGAATCTGGCCGAGTCCCGCTTCGTCTGGCGAAATGCCGCTGGATCCGGCTTGGTCCCGCTGCATCCGGGTCAATCTTGGGCTCAGTCTGGTTTGACCCGATTGGCTGGCCTCCGAATCGGGCTTCGTAACCATTACCCGTTCTGACGAAGACCTCCCAGGAGTTGCCTCCTAAGGGCGGCGGGGATTAAGCGGGCCAGCAGTGAGGCCACGCCTTGGGTGGAGGAGTCCAGGGGAGCCCAGTTTCGGCACTGATGAAAACGGCTGTGCGTTCTCTCCCTCTCTCTCTCTCTCTCTCTCTTCGCGCCCAGTGCCTGCGGGCCCTTTGGGCCCTGGACAAGGCGCACGCACAGCCGCGGATCCAGAGTTCCCAAGATATGATCTCTGGGATCTTTGGCGTTTCTCCTCGATCTCGGGCTCCCGGGGCCCTGACCAGGCCCAGGGGAGCATCAGAGCTGGATCTGGGGCGCAAGGCTGCCGTCAGGGCGCTGAAACGAGGACCACTTCGGGCCCAGGAGGCGCTGTAGCTTTCGGGCCGCGCCATGGATCTGGGTCGGAGGAGCTAGCCGTGGCCGAGGCTCGCCGTGGCTAGAACAGCTCCCTCGTGCCTCACTCGGCGCTCCCTGCGGTAGCACGACAACTGTACCCCTGGGGACTGGGTCGGGACACGACCGCGTTACTCACAACTGCATATAGTTGGGTTCTTCGCCCGGATAATTTTGATATTGCGTTTTTCGGCGATTTCGGCCTCTGGGACCATGATCGGGCCATCAAAACTGGATCTGGGCCGCAAGACTACCCCTGGGGAAAGGGTCGGGACCTTTGCCGGGTTTTGCCAGACGTGTCCCCGGTCCGAGGTGCTCCCAGGATCTCCAAGGAGGCTCCCACGGCCTGCAGAGCACCCCTTCCGAGGCCCAGGGCCCCAGGGCTCCAAAACGGACCGCGAAGCTGGGGGGACCTTGGGCCAGTGGTATCTGGAGCACCCCCCTGACTCCGGGGCCGCGGGTTGAACACATCATATCGGAGGATGTCTGGGGAGACGAGCGGGCGGGCGGGCGGGCGGCGGCGGCGGCGGCAGTCGTCGCGGGCGACGGGCCCATACCTCCAACGGATTGGCAAAATCGAGGCAGAGGTTCCCCCAGGGCTTGGCGACTTTCCACCAATCAACTTGTGGGGATCAAGCCGGACAGATCACGGCGCGCGCCGATTCATCCTAGTGCATCCGGGTTGTGGCCGCTCCAGCGCGAGTCGAGGGGCGGCAGAAGTCAATCGTTCAGCCCTTACTGGAAGGTGTTTCGCGGCTTTCGGCCTCTGGGTGCCCTCGCCAGGCCCCAGGACCGTGAGAAGCGGCTCGGGAGGAAGGGCCAGCACCAGGCGGAAAGGCCAGCACCGCGCACCGACAAAGCGCAAGACATCGGACGTTTGGGGAGATATCCATGCCCGTGCCCTCGCGGTCTGTGTGCCAGGCCAGGGCGCGGTCCTGTGGATGAGCGATCCCGCGGATGCGTTCTGCGCGGGGCATTCGCGCCGAGAGGAACCCAGGGAGAGGAGTGGGCGGTGGCGGCGGGACACGAGCTTGCTCAGACCTCCGACTTAGTGTCGGAGTCCTACAGGTTGCCACCAACACAAATGTCGGCAGTGGGCCTCCACAGAGGGAAGATGATCCCGATCTCGGTGATGGTGCTAGTTACTATTCGGGTTTCCGAGGTGGCCGATTTATCACCACCCATGCTAGCATCTAGGATCATCTTCTCCTGGTGGCGGCCCCCCCCTGTCTTGGTGTTGATGTCCATGCCCAAGCCTCCAATAGTGATTGTTCGATGCCGGCGCTTTTTCAGCCTCCGATGTCGGCCCGTGATTCAGGTGGGCGCGCGCGTGGCAGCTGCGGACTCGGGGGGCCTCCCTCTCCTCTCCAGTGTTGGCCTCCTCCTCCTCCTCCTCCTCGGCCTCCGCCTCCGCCTCCTCCTCCTCCTCCTCCAGCTGCCATTTGGGCCTGAGAGATAGTCCGGGCAGCACGCGCCGCCAAGATCACATTCCACATCACGTGTTGAAAGGATCGGGCGGAAGGCCCGCATGGCAGCAACGGCATGGCCGGCCTCTTGCGTTGCCTCTTTTCAGCCCCATGTCCGCCAGACACGACATAATGGTGGATAGTTTCGAGGAGGCGCACAATTTTGACGCAAGCATGCCGACAGGAACTGCTAGATGGAGGAGGGAGGCCCACGTGACACTAGGCAGAGTAGAACGCACGAGGTATGTAGATGCAGGATGGACGACGAGAGAGTTGTCAAACAGAAACACGGGCATCGGCATAACATTACAAAGACGACTGAGAGGAGCACGAATCATTTGCGTGACGGAGAAACCTTCGGCACAATGCGGGCGCGGATTGGCTCTCACTGTACAGCACCTTGACCTACTCATCGCGATGATCGGATACTACTCTCCTCCGCAGTCCAACAAAGGCAACACCAGAAAACAGTACTACGTGACGATCGCGCCTGTTCAAGTGAACGGAGGAGACAGCGAGGGACAGGCCCAGACACAGCGTATTGATCGTCGGGGCCGACTTCAACGACGGCATCGACACCACATCGAAGGGAGCACATCCAGAATTACCAGCACTGGGACCAGGGCGAACGCGAGAATATTACCAGGAGGAACGGGACATAATACCATAATATTCGCGGAGAAACACTGACTGCCTTGGGATATTGAGTACCAGGGGAAGTTGGCGACCGACGTACTTCGGCGAGAAGAGCGCACATTTCATCGATTACAGTATGACGCCACAGGAGCTGGCGAACAACCTGATATCGCAAGGCCCATTGCTACGCATGGGCGCGCGCCATCAACAGATCCCCTGTCGGGAACATAGAGATCACGTGCCAGTACAGACTGTTCTACGATTGCCACTACGACAGCGAATCCGGCAACAGCAGAATATTATAAAGTGGGACAGATATGGACTGTTACGGGCAGTCAGGCAAGCATGCAACAGGAACGAGTTCATCCGCGACCTCGAGCAGAGCGTGGAACAGCACCAACCAAACTGGCAAGGAATCGACGCACCCTTCCAGGACACCAGCCAGGTGATCATCAACTCTGGTCAGAAGTATTACGGGCCGCATCCAGTTACCTCCTAAGAGGGGTTGAAGCGCCAACGCATGGACCTACGACGACGGAGACGCGCGGGAAGAGCAGAGTTACGACAACATGGATCAACCCTCGCGATCCATATCCCCGCAGACAGCCCAGACAAAGCTGAGGTAGAGTATATCATGAAAGCTACAAATCACCGACCTCGTCGCCACAACCCCCCCAGGAACCGGGCGGAACCAGGCCGGGACCCGGCGCCGAGAACCTCTTGGAAGCCCAGAGGGGCAGCGAAGGGAATGACCCCTACGCCGACGAGGAGGAACAAACGCGCACCGAGCTCGGCGAGACAGGGATCACACTCAGGGATGTAGACCAGGAGCTCAAGCAGATCACCAAACATTGCGTAGAACTATGGAAGCAGGAGTACCAGCAGAGGAATGGCGCCAGGGTCGAGGAGCTGTGCGAGGCACGGGAGAGACGAGATCTCGCAAGGGCTAGGCAACGATCGTGACTGACCGCAGGAGGAAGTCACGGACCACGAACATGAAATTGCTGGGTGGCGGCCACCGCGAACCCGACCGAGCTGGAGTGGATTCATTGCAGGAAACTACCAGGGGGCGAAAGATCGGAATACATGGCACGGGGCAGAAGGAGGAGGGGCTGGAGCGGATGCCGCACTCGACAGAGGAGAGATCATTCCGAGAACGACCTAGATGAGCAATTGGAAGCAGACTATGAGAATATCGCGAAGAGCCTGAGGAGAGCCAGGCTTCGCAGGGCGGCCCCGCAATATATATATATATATATATATATATATAAGAACAAAAATAATAATACTAATAAAAACAACACGCACACACGCACACGCACACGCAGCACCTTCAAAACTGCGGCGACAACTGCTGTGTCGGCCGCCCGCGCAGCAACGGCAACAGCGACAAGGGCTCGGATCGTGGCGAGAAGCTGAACAACCTGAACGCTTCGAGGCTCTATTCGGAGCCGCACTGGCAGCGATGGGAGTCGGCCGCGCGGCGCCACTAAGATGACCGCGGCGCGCGTCGACAACGGTGCGGCATAATTCGAAGACGTGGCCCCGCAGGCAAGATAACCCACCGCGTCGTGGACCCGATCGGAAAGGAAGACCACGCGGCAGGGCTGAGAAGAAACATTGGCAAGGTGCCCAGGAGCCAGGACTGCGGCTTCATCGGGGGAAGACGACGGGGGGGGGCTATGCGGACAATGGCAGAGGTGGGATGCATGGCGAGACTCGCAGACTGGAACTACGCGTCCACGCCAACGCGCATGTCCAACGCCTTTGCGAGCTGCTCGCGGCTAACCGCGGGCGCGGCCAACGGCGAAGGCACGTGAGTCACGCCGGGCGATCAATGGTGCCCGGGAAAGCAAGGACCTCGCCGAGCTCAGCGTGCCTGGCAGGGGCTCGGGCAAGGGGGCGCGCTTTATACCGTCTCTCTGAGGGCGCGCCGGAGGCCCGTGCGCGGCCCGCAACTTCGCGGCGAGATCGCGCCCTGCATCCAGATATGGGCGGAGGACTGCAAAGGAGCGGCCGAGGCGGGCTGCCTCCCGCGCGACGCGAGCGAGCTATGCCGGCGCTCAGTTTACTTGGGCCTCGCCAAGTGCGCGGGCGACCGCGGGGGGCTGATCCTGGGGGGGGCGCGGCGCGAACGCGCGGGGTTTGGCGGGCGCGGGGGGGGTGTGGGGGGGGTGGGCGAGAAACTCAACGCGGGGGCGGGGGGGATTGGAGCGCGACGGAATCATGACAAGCAGGATCATTGAGCGCGCGCCCTTGGCAACGGCGCCAGCGCGGCGCGCTGCGACCTCGAGATGGGCCGCGGCTGCAGTGTACATGGCGAAGCGCTTGCAGTGGCGCGCTACCTGGGCCCCCCAGATCTCGGCGACGCAGAGCGACGCCGCGGAGCTCCAGGGGCGCGCCTTGGCGGCGAAGGAAAAGAGCCACTGCGAATGCAGCGACTTCTGGGCGACGGCAGGCATCCGATTCAGGTGGTTGCATGCGGTTCTGATTGGCGGGGTTATCAACGCAGGCCTCTCGCGCGTCGAGTGCTTCGCCCCGGCGCTGGGCGAGCCCCTGCAGCTGAAGAGCGCGGAGGGCGCGCCCCTCGGACGGGCTATGGGAGGAGGAGCTACTACTCGCCGTCGAGATGGCAGCGCGAGGAGCCCGACCACCCCTGGGGTCTTTCGTAACTGGCAGATCCAGCCGCCAGCGGGAGATGCACTGGTCCGCAGACTCAGCCGGGCAACGAACGTTTTGATATTTCCGAACAGCCGCCGCCAGCCGAATGTTACAACGTTCGACCTAATCGAGTCCCGGGGAAAGGGCGGCGACGACGCGTCCGACGAGCTCCAGGGCGACGCGAACCTCTGGGCCCGAAGATTCGCCAGCAACATCGAGTGCGCCCGCGAGGTTTCGGAGAGTTTTTGCACGGCGCGCGGCGACCGTATCTCGATCGGCAGAGCGTCGACGCTAAACGCGCGTCTACCTCCATTAGACGTCAGGAAGCAAGGCCATCTAAGCAAACGGCGGCAGCGCCGCCGCCTGGAGCGGGGCAAAACGACGAACTACGAGAGGAGTTGGTCCCGCGGGGACTGCGACTTTGGAAATGCGGTCTCAGGGTAGGTGAGGAGAAGCGCGGATCCGCCTGATGCGAAGCCATCACGTACATAATCAAGCTGCTGCACCATCACGTCAAACAGCGAGTGCATCAATTGCGGGCAAGCGGTCACGACCAGAGGCGCGGCGCGGAAGCATCTAGCGAGGGGCGCGGCGGCATGGCGTTACAACCGGGGCGATAGGAAACCAATGCCAGCCAGAGCCGCGCAATCCGAGATGCCCCATATGTCGTCATTTGGATTTGGACACATGGAGTTGCTTCTACCTCGAGAGCTGGATGGCGCTGTTCGATCAGAGGCCATAGCGGGGCGCGGCGGCGCCGGCGGCAGGATCGGCGCGCCGATGCCGGAGCGGACAGGGGCGACGAGCGCCCGCTGGACAAGCAGGAGGCGCTGCGGCGTCGCCCGCCAACCAGGCGGTGAACTTCGCGGCGCGCTTGGCGATCATATGGGCAAGAGAGCAAGCGGAGCTGGCCCGGGCGGCACTGCAAAAGTGGGACATCCCAGCAGCCGCGAATATAGCTACTGCGGCGCTCGACATCGGCAAGGACAACAGCGACGCGGCGCCAGGCCTGCGCAGAGGGGCAGCTCGAGGAGAGCTAGTCGACGCGGCTTCTCTCGGCAGCACGCGCGTGAAGATCTGGGCGGGCGTCGCGAATTACCCGGGGCGCATCCGAGAGGGCGCGGCGGCGAAGCAGTTCGCAGAGAAACACCATCCGGAGGCGATCTTCAGTGTCAGCGCGGAGCTGGCGGCAGACTCCGCCCCCGTCTCCAGGGCGCGCCGCAGCCAGGGCAAGGAGGGCGGAGCAGCCGAGAAGTGCAGGTTTCAGTTCCATAGGAAGCATGCTCACCCTTAGCCCGAGACCATCGTAGTGAACTAGCTGAGGAAGGAGGTCACCACGCGCCAAGGGGGAGCGGCGCCTCGGGGGGCGCTGGAGCGGGGGCTGGGCAGGCTGATCAACGGATGAGGGCCCGAGAAGTCCGTCGTGGTGAGGCAGTAGCTAGAGACCGTTGAGCATTGCTTGCAGCTTCGTTCCGTTCCGCAGACCTCCCTCCCCCGAGCTGTGCCGAGAGTTTTCGACACGAGCGCTCGCTTGTGCGAGCTCGTGCAGAATGGTAGACCCCCCTCCACTTCAGCAGGATGCCCCAGAGATTTTGCAGATTCGCAGTCCGATTTTCTCTGATTTTTTCGCGTTGAGTTGGCTTCCCCCCCGTTTCCGAAACGAAGGGGGAAAGGGGGGGGGTTAGCACAGGGGCGGGGGGAGGCAGCAGCGAGGACATCCGTACATGCGGGTGCCGCCCTGCCCCAGGAGCCCTGCGTGGGGAGGTCGGTACATGTAGGGCCAGAGCGCCACATGTTGCGAGTGATCCTTTTTTCCACGATGTGAACGCATCTAGGCCGTATTTGGCTTGTGGAACGCAGCTCAGATCTAGTCGAGGGGAGTAGCGCCGAACTGGCCCAAGAACTCGGTCGATCGATCGATCCTCCTCTTCTTCCTGAGGGGGGCAGGACATGTCCGCTTCACCGTCCGGGCGGACACATGGCATTTGTCGCATTCCACTTCGCCCGTGGATGGCTTGTGTGTGCCCTGTCGGTGGGCACTGGGCTCAGTTCTCTCGTTGTTTGTCAGTTGTTTCATTGTTTATAGTATGATTATTATGATTCTTATTATTTTTATTACTACTACTACTATTATTACCATTTTTATTATTATTATTACTATTATTATTATATTAATATTATTATTATTATTATTACTATTATTATTATTATTTGTTTTTTTTTGTTCTGATTCTCTTCTCGGATCCTCTTTCTTCCCTTGTCCGCCCTTCCCTTGCTGGCCCGTGTCGTTCCGCCTCCTCCTCCTCCTACTTTTCCTCCTCCTCCTCCTTTTTCTGTTTCTCCCTGGCCCCGTGCTGGGGCGCGGCGGAAGTCAGAGGGCGGCGGTGACGTCATAACACAACGCCAAGGTCGGATACAGCAACTGGGGGCTGGGGTGTCAAAGTAAGTCGTCGGCGGCAAAGCGCATCACGGATGTAGAGGAAAATGCCCGACAATGATATGCGCATTTGGGGATCGCCGCATCTAGTTCTTTCGTCCGGTCAGGGACCACGCTCCAAGTCAGGGCCATGGCTCTTCGGGCGGTGAGGAACCACTCCCGACTTCGAATGCCGTGGCGACAGCACGACCGTATTCAAATGCCCATTCTGGAAACAGCCTTCGTTTGTGCGCTGTGGGAGGCCGGCGGGCGCTGGTGTAACCGCTGGTTCTGCCATCGCAGGCAAGTTGGAACGTTGGTAGAGAGTGCTTTCGGCGCTTTTCGGAGTCGACCAGGCATAAGTAACTCGGGCAATGACGATGGTGATACTAGCACGAAGCGGAGACAATCAATACGAGGACGATGTGGAAGGTGGGAACGATTGCGGATTTGCATCTGGAGATAAATTTGTGACGGCGTCTGGCATCGGGGACATCATTCGCAGTTCCAGGGCCGCAGGGTTATGAACATTTTGTTGCTTGCAGCGGGAAGGCTATGGGTAAACCTCTTGTGGAGGCGTTTATGGCCATGAATCGTGTTGTCAGCTGTAGTAACCTCAGGGCGTATTTACTTTTGATCCCCCCTTTTCACTCGGCGGCGTATGAGGCTGGTCCTGAATCCTTTTCCTCCTCCTGAGGCATGGCTAGTAGTAGTCATCGTAGTCGTAGTCCAACTCGTAGTCGTAGCTCTCGTTGTCGCTGTTGCGCGGCATGCGCGGCGGGACAACAATAATTTGTTACCCTCTCCTGGTGGGACCCCAGTCATGCAGTAAGGCCGCCGGAAAATGATTAGTTACCCCTTGTTGGGTGCGGGATTCTAGAGATTTATCGCGCCAGAAGAACCTTAGCAGCAGAGGCAGAGCTATTTAGCTGCATCTCTTGGCTTGAGTCTCGGACCATGTGCATGTTACAGGGCACGCCCTTTCAGATATGCTTCTCCATACCGCCAGGTGTCCATGGTTGGTTGCAGCGGCGCTTGCGGCCTGCGCAGCTCTAGCGTCGGCGCGCCTGCGGAAAGAGGACCGCACGCTGACAGAAATGTACTGAGGAGTATCAGGATGATTACATAGGTGAGGGCGATGACGATAATGATGACGAAGGAGATGACGATTGCGATGACGAAAATGGTGATGGTGAAGGTGACGATGCATTATTCCTATCTGTGTGGGCCCGTGGCACGGGCCACCATCAACCGAGGGGCGACCTGCTCTCACTTCCATCGACCTCTCTACGCAAACTGCTCAACCAACACAACTCAATGTTCGCCGATCGACATTTCGAATACAGCAACTATCACAACAACGACGACGACAAAGACAACGATAACGACAACTATATCAATCACAGCAACACCATCAACACCAGCAACAATCATTTTAAGACTGTTTGCTCTGACCTGCTCGCATGCCATTTAACACGTACATCTCGAACCTTCGTTACCCGCCCTGTTCGTCATCGATCGTACCCCCTTTGGGGGTATATCTTCCCTACCTGCCGCGTGTAGTGGGCGCAGCCTTTAAAACAGGGGAAGGGATGACGGATGGAAGAGGGAGGGGGGAGGAGCACGAGAGAGATTAGCAGGAGGGGGGCTAGGAGCACAAATCACGTGGTAGAACTAGACGGGCAGATCGGACGGGCGGGTCGGGAAGGCGGGCCCAGGCGGGCAGGTCGAGCAGGCGGGTTGCCGAACCGTGAGCATGAATTGTGAGGAAGTCTCGATCGATAGCGCGATTCCCAAGTAAACCATGAGAAATGCCCGAGCGACGGCGTGATTCCTAAGGGTTGGAGGCGCGACGCTTGAATAACTTGTGGGGAAGGCCCACGTGAGGGCGCGGTTTCTGAAGAAATCCCGCGCGAGAGCTCGTGTTGGGAATACATCGTGAGGACGTATCAGGCGGGAGCGGCTGTTGTTGTAAACCAGAGGCCAACAACACAATTCTGAGATTTCAGATTTCCTCTCTAGAAAACAGGGTGCGAGCCCCGGGAAGGGTATTACCATCGACAAAACGCAGATGTGCCCCGGGGGGGATCAACAAACATTATTATTATTATTGAGAAGTGAGAATTTAACACCAACACCACCACCAACAACAGCAGTCATTTTTTACGACTGCTCGCTCTGATCTGCTCGCGGGCCACTCAACACGTATATCCCAAACCCTCGATACCCGCCTTCTTCGTTTTCGATCGTACCCCATTGGGGGTCTATATCTTTCTTACTTGCAGCGTGTATTTCGTGTAGATTGTAGGGCAGGGGGAAAGAGGACGGATGGAAAGAAGGGACTAGGGGCAGGCGGGTTGCTGGAGCATGCGTCCTGCATGAGTCGCGAGGAAATCTCGAGCGGTAGCGCGATTCTCCGTGAGACAATCCGCAGCGAGAGCGTGATTCCTACCTCCGTGCTAGGAGAAGGATGGCGAGGAGGAGGAGGGGGAGGGAGAGGAGGAAGAGGAAGAGGAGGAGGAGGAGGAGGAGGAGGAGGAGGAGGAGGAGGAGGAGGAGGAGGAGGTGATGTACAGGACGAATAGGAGGGGGAGGAGTAGGAGGATGATGATGATGATGATGATGATGATGATGATGATGATGATGATGAGGAGGAGGAGGAGGAGGGAAAGCCCCAGGAAGAGGAGGCGGAGGAGGAGGAGAATTTCGACAGGGAGGAGGACGACGATAAGGAGCTTGCAACACATAGACAGCAGAGCGCGTAGAGGCTTGTGCCTGGTCCCAGCGCGCGTTGCTAATTTGCGGAGTGTTGTATGCTCAGAATTTCGCGTTCCTGGTCGCTTCTCTCGGTGAAACCATCTGCGTTGCCGCAGAATCAGCACGGGAAGCAGCCGCGTCGTCTGCGCACGTTTCTTCCAACGGCAGGGGTTCCAGCCGCTTTGCGCATGGGTGGTTCAGCAACGGGGAGGGTTGTTGCACGTGCGGGCGGAGGACCACGTCTGCGCACGCCCGCGTGTGGCACGTGCGGTTCTCAGCCACGGCCTTGGCCTCCGCAGCTTGCGTCCCAGCAGGATCACATGTCTTTACCACATGTCGCTCTGTTGTGCTGCACACTGCGTGCGCGTTGCCCTTACCTGTCGCCCCCCGCTCGTCCAGGGCGGGAGGACAGCAGCTCCCGACGATGGGCTGGCTGTCTGGACGACAGGAGGCGGGGGACGTCGCCCATCCACGTCGTGGATCCTGGCCAGGCCTACCGTGGGCCCGGGATGGGTGCAAGAGCCATTCTGGCTTGGCCAGGGAGGGCATACAGACCGTGGGCCCAGGATCGGCCCAGCCAGAATCGATGAGGCGGGTCGTGGACGGCCTCGGACAGAGCGAGCGCCCGGCGCATATGTGTCGTTTTCACCTGACTTTTCTGCCCCCCCCACTCGCGTCCGATGTTCCTTCCACACACCAATGATCCTTTACCATGAAAGGTGATGCAGCCATGAGTAGGATGAGTGGGTATTCTTCCCTCGTTTTCGGTGGTTTTGGTAGTGAGAAGTGCCCACGTACCACACCCCAAGAGAGGTCCATGGAAGGGTGGTGTCCGTATTGTTCTATTCCCCCAGCGCGAGAATAGGTGGGGCCTTCTTATATGACGTCGCCTGTTTCGGCCGTGGAGCCAGCTGCAGCGGATGCCCTGGGATTGTGAGGAGGGCGAGGACGAGGAGCATTGCAAGGGTATGAAGGGGGAGGAGGAGGAGGAAGAGGAGGAAGAGGAAGAGGAGGAGAAGGAGAAGGAGGAGGAGGAATAATGATCATAATAATAGTGCGAATAATATTACTAACCATACTACTAAACAACATATTTACGCACTGCGTGGAGATCCCCATCGGTGCATTTTTTGTTAATGTATATATATATACCTATACAGATATGAAGGATAATTGTCAGTGGGCTATGGGAATGCGCGTCTAGCCATGCATGCAGCGCAACATGCGAATAGCATGTTGTAAAGTGTAGGATTGTGCCAAGGCGAGCGTCTATCAGTGAAACATGTCGTTTAGGTGCGCGTCCATGTGAGCGACAAGCACACGCGCGGGCAGCGAAGCTGCACAAACACCTCATGTAAACGTTTACTCAAATACATACGCCTGCGTACCTTGTCTTTCTACGTCAAAGAACTCCTTTGGCTCCCCGTCCGAAGCACCAGGTGGAGAGTACGAATGACAAGCGCTTCAGACGACACCTCAAGATCTGCCCTTCAGCATGAACCGTCCACACTCGGCATGGGGTCTAGCTGGCAACGGCAAAGGAAGTCGTGCGCACTTGACGCGCTACGGGCAAGTGCTACTACTGCCACCCTCGCGGCTTCCGCCTCGGCTTTAACCGTCCGCACTTGGCATCGGGCATAGCTTGGCCGTCCGCACTTGGAATCGGACCAGGCTTGGCTCAGCGCGAAGGCAGGAAAATGGCTGAGCGCGGAGACCGAGGAAAAACAGGCAAACAGCTTCGAGACATCCCCACAAAACGGCCGCGAACGGGACCGCGCAAAACCCTTCGGCGGCCCCCTTGGGACGTGAGAGTGAGCGCCTCGCTCGAGACATCCTCCAAATGTGCTTCGGAAGCGACGGATGTTGGGACAGAAAGCAGGCAAACCGCTTGAGACATCCCCACAAAATGGCCGCAAACGGGACCGTGCAATACCCGTCGGCGGCTCCCCATTAGGGACGTGAAAATGAGCGCCTCGCTCGAGAAATCCTCTAAATCTGCTGCGAAAGCGAAAGATGCTGGGAAAGAGCACAGGCAAACCGCTTGAGACATCCCCACAACACGGCTGCGAACGTGACCGTGCATACCCCTCGGCGGCTCCCCTTAGGGACGTGCGAATGAGCGTCTCGCCCGAGACATCCTCCAAATCTGCTCCGAAAGCGAAGGATATTGGGACAGAGCACAGGCAAACCGCTTGAGACATCCACACAAAACGGCCGCGTACGGGACCGTGCAATACCCCTCGGCGGCTCCCCTTAGGGACGTGCAAATGAGCGCCTCGCTCGAGACATCCTCCAAATCTGCTCCGGGAGCGAAGGATGTTGGGACAGAGCACAGGCAAACCGCTTGAGACATCCCCAGAAAACGGCCGCGAACGGGACCGTGCAATACCCCCTCGGCGGCTCCCCTTAGGGATGTGAAAATGAGCGTCTCGCCCGAGACATCCTCCAAATCTGCTCCGACCGCGAAGGATGTAAGGACAGAGCATAGGCAAACCGCTTGAGACATCCCCAGAAAACGGCCGCGAACGGGACCGTGCAATACCCTTCGGCGGCTCCCCTTAGGGATGTGAAAATGAGCGCCTCGCTTGAGACATCCTCCAAATCTGCTCCGAAAGCGAAGGATGTTGGGACAGAGAACAGGCAAACCGCTTGAGGCATCCCCACAAAACGGCTGCGAACGGGGCGCGCGTGAGTCCCAGCATGAGTAAATCTGAGTAGGAGTAGATCTGAGTATGAGTAGGTCTGAGTATGAGTAATTCTGTGTCTGAGTAAGTCTGGGTATGGGTAACTCTGAATGTGAGTAAGTCTGTGTATGAGTAAGACTGGGTATGAGGAGGAGAAGCAAGAGGATAAGGAGAAGGAGGATAAGTAGGAGGCGTCCTCCAAGTAATAACAATAACCCCATCTTAGGATATGGGGAATATGACTAACAATGAAAATAACAACACTAATAATAAGAAGCAGAGGAGGAGGAAGAGGAGGAACAATAGGAGGAAGTGGAGGAGGAGGAGGAAGAGGAGGAGGAGGAAGAAGAGGAGGAGGAATACGAGAAGGAGGAGGAAGAGGACGGGGTGTGGGAGAATGAGGAGAAGTATAAGGGTGAGATGAGGAGGCGGGGGAGCAAAAGGAAGGCGTGGGAACACAGCACGTGCCTGTCAGGATGACTCGCATGTGGACACGTTGAGTTCCGTGCACCCGACAGAGCTGCCGTGCCTCAACCCAGCGAAGCGGGCTAAGGCGAGGGACGCGATGGTATCAGTGTCAGAAGTTTGTGGGTTTGCGCGCGCGTGTCTGTGTGTATGTGTGTGCGTTTATGGCAATGTCCGTGGCATCATCATGATTGTACTTATTACGTTCGAGATATCGCTGGTGGTACTGATATCTGATATTGATGACCGCTGGGGTGGTGCTGGTGGTTGCGATGACCATGGTGAATGAGATCATGTTGATCGTTCGGGCAGACAACTTTGCAGTGTTTCAGCCGCAAGTGCCATGGTGAGGATGTTGCCATGTTTGTGAGGGCGATGACCGAACCGATGACGGCTGGTGACGATGATGACTCTGAAGATTGGGGTGTTGACGACGGCCACTTCAACGACGATGGCGACGCCAACGAACATTATAAGAATGACGGTCAAAGCATCGTGGACTGTCCAATCACGAAAACAAGCCATGTCGCGAGTAGGTCGAAGTGACGAGATGCTCCAGTCGGATGTTTGATCGCATCTTTTCCCAAGCGACACTATCAGGACCCTGTCTTGTTAGAGAAGACACGTGGAGAGCTTCTCACGGAAAGGTTACGTGCTTATTGTACTCCTGGCTTCGGCCAAGGGCGTATCAAAGAATTCCTGCCTGGCGGTCTATCCATCATAGCCGCCTCTTCAAGCGAGGGCGCAGTGGTTCGAGAGCGCAGTTCGTGCCGACTCATCTCTGGCTCTGGTCTTCTCCACCCCACTCGCGCGCGCGTTGCTTGCGCGAAGCTGGTTCAGCGGCTGCACAAAGGCCAGCCGAAAGGCCGACCACTCTTTCTGGGGCTGATCTTTGGCTGCCCATGGCGTCAGGAGTGCAGCCAGCATCGCAGATCGGGCACCGCCCCACCCGCCGGCGACCCTCGCCGGGGTTTCCCAGTTCCCAGTCTGTGACATTCCTGGAGGCCCATACGGCAGGCCAATCGAAGAAGAAAAGCTTTCTCTCGTATGTGCCTACTGTACTTACAACCTTCTGTTTGCTATGCTGGCGATTTCTGACAGTACCTCCTTCTTGTCGCCTGGTAAGATCTCGATCCGCCCCACGAGTGGTTGCTCGGGAGGCACGGGGAACTACTCAGGAGTGAGAGGTGCGAATGCGAGGGTGCATCTCGCCCATGGCGAAGGCACCTTTGCCATGGAGAAGGCTGACAGAAGGTCCAGGGGAGCCAACTGACTTCATGCGAGCTGGTTCCACCAACAGCGGAAGCTCGGCGAAAGTTTGGGGGAGGTTGGAGGGTGCGAAAAGCTGGCTCTCCAAGTGGGGTGGCGTCCAGATAGATGGGTATCGACTGCGCGGACATTTGCGCTCAAGCTGCTCGCGTCAGGTCACGCGTCAGTGCCACCTCGGTGTGCCGCGCTGGCGGCCCGCGTAAGCCACCGCGTGAGCCGCGAAGTCCTCTTGCGTCGCTCAATCGAGGTCAGAAGGGGGATGAGGTGGAGGGGAAGGAGGAGGAGGAGGGTGAGGAGGATGAGGAGGAAGAGGAGCCGGAGGAGGAGGCGGAGGAGGAGGAGGAGGAGCTGGAGGGGGAGGAGGAGCTGGAGGGGGAGGAGCCCAGGCGCTCAATCCTGGCCCTCCCCAGCCCACGCCACGCAGGGCAACCTCCTCGCAGCGCTCAGGGGGTCCACCGCCAGCGTGTATCCATATTAACCGCCTCGGAGTTGTGACCCTTGATCTCGATGACCTCTCGAGGAGTGCTGGACGTGGATATCTGCTCGCCTCTGCGGACAGGACACCGTACACACATGCATGTATACATCTCTTCATATGTAGATATGCGTCAATGTATATATATATATAGATATGTATAAGTGTATGCATGTACGTGTATGTGTATATATATATATACATACATGCGTATACTCTTCATATTTGTATTTACATATACAGAGATGCATCCACCGCCCCTAGGAGATCTGGGACAGGACTCCAGCAGCTGTGGATGTGAATGTTCTCTGGCGGTGAGGGGTTCTGGCGGTGAAAGGCAAAGTGCGACACATGCACACGCTGTCCAGGCGGCAAGATGCGACATAAGCATCGATTGTCGACGCAGGTGGCTGCGCCTCTGGCGCTGTTCCTGGCGAGCTTCGCACGCCACGGGAGTCACGGGAGGGGGGTCGCCCAGGGCCGACCAACAGAAATCCGCGCGGATCTCCAAGAGTTCATGCTCGTGCTTCTACTTGCTGCTCTGCAGAAGGCGGGGGTGCTTCTGGGAAGGGGTCGGGGGCTTAGGAGACGGCTTCGTCGAAGCCTCCGCGCCCTTCTCCACAGGCCCAAGCCTTCTCAGCATGCCGTTTCCCTCGCCCCGAACCCTTTTCTGTGAGGTTGCCGCTCGCGACCCAGTCCTCACCGCGGGCGGCCGCTGCGCCCTGCTTCGGCAGGCGGAGTATGCTATACACAGGTCGGCGGCGTCTCTTCTCGTCGTTCTCTCCCTCAGTCCTCCTCCTCCTCCTCCTCTCCCCTCTTGCCTCCCCTCTTCCCCTCTTCCTCTACTCCTCCTCCTCTCCCCTCTTCCTCTCCTCCTCTCCCCTCTTCCTCTCCTCCTCCTCCTCTTCCCCCTTCTCCTCTCCCCTCTTCCTCTCCTCCTCCTCTCCCCTCTTCCCCCCCTCGTGGCCGGTGCCTTTTGACTTCTGGCACCTGACGGATTCCTCATATGCAGCATCGGCCTTCATTCCTCTCGATTGGGATTGCAGATCTGCGTTGCGATATCTTTTCACTTGGCTCGTGATGCGATCGGCACGTGCGCGAGGTAACACAATGCTGCTGCTGCGGGGGCGGGGAACAAAACGCTTCGGCAGGTGGACTTCCCGCCGAGCCTGCTGCTGGGCGGCGGGGCCAAGCCGGTGATGTACAGCGGGCGAGCCCCGGGCCGTCGCTGCCCCTCCACCAGCACTGGCCAGGCTCACCCTGGGCCCTCGGTCTGTGCGTGCAAGTTCCACACCCACCCCCCGTGCCTGAGGCCGCCCGCACACTCCTCGTGGCGAAGATTCTCAACGCCTGAGGCCTCATCCTGCCTTCCTTCGCCGCGGCCGCCCCCTTCTTCTCCTGTGCGTCCGTGTGTGTGCCTTGTCGTCCGAATCCGTGTCCTGTTTGGCCGGCCGAATTCCTGCTTGCCTCTTGATCCATTACCTGTGCGTTTGCCCTACTCTGCCTTGATTTTTCTGCTGCTTCGCTTGCCAGTTTCCAGGGCGCCCCTACAAACCCCACTTAGTTTGGCTTTTGTTCGCTTAGTCGGGCTGTGCCTGTTTGATCGACCGAGCGGCTCTTCGCCCCACCTGCATGCGCCCAAAATGTGTGCATATAAGTGTAATGTGTGTATGTATGTGTGTATGTATGTGTGTATGTATGTATGTATGTATGCATGTATGTATGTATGTATGTATGTATGTATGTAAGTATGTTTTATGCGTGTGAATGTGTGTATGTATGTGTGTGTGTGCGTGTGTGTGCGTGTGTGTGTGCGTGTGTGTGTGTGTGTGTGTGTGTGTGCAAGTGCAGTTGGACCTCCATTCTATTCCTGGTTCCTCGCTTCCTCCCCCGTGCCCACGTCTACCCCTTGTCGTCTCCCTATGTGTGAACCCTGCACGCCCTGTTACGGTTGGGCTGGGCCCGCCGCGCGCGCCGGTCTGCACCACCTGCAGCCCGCAAGACTCCGCCGCGTTGCTGCGCGCGTGGCCGCGACGCCAAAAAAAGTGCGTGCGCCGGTGTGTCCTGGTCGTCGTGTTATCGTAGCTCAGGTGTTTCCCTACCAATCGTCTTTTCCGGGCTCATTTTACTCTGCCACCTCATCCTTGAGGTGATGTGGCTCTGAACCGAAGCGTTGCTGCGGAACGGTATTTTACAACGTGCTGACTATTCTTAGTGGGTTGAGTTCATCGTGTTCGCCCTGCTTGCCGAAGGCGAATGTGATCATTCACTGAGTGGCGTTTATCCTGACTCGCCCGGGGTCTGCGCCGGCCGTTGCATGGTATCTGAGACACGGTTCCATGTGTGTTGATTGGACCGCCGTAGTCTAGCTTCGCTTCCTCGCTCTGGTGACTTGGCAATATGAGATGTTGCGGTCGGCACGTTCGGGAATGCTGATGTGCACGAGGCAGCGAGAAAACATGGTATCTGAGACACGGTTCTTTTGCCAGTGAGCAGGTGTGCTTGTGTGTGAGCGAGAGAGAGAGAGAGAGAGAGCAGACTTGCATGTGTGTATATGTGTGTGTGCGTGTGTGTGTGTGTGTGTGGTGTGCGTGTGTGTATACGTGTGTGTGTGTGTGTTTGTGTGGGTGTGTCCCTTTTGAGCGACTTCGCCCCGTCTCACGGCTTGGCCTGCCTGGTGCCCGACGCTCGCTTGATTTGTTCCACTTGAGGCGCGCCTCAATCTGCAGCTTGCCCGGCACTCTATGGCTATGGTTCGTACGCGACCGCCAGACGCGCGAGTGAAATTTATGCCAAAGTGGCCCATTCACGTCTGACCGTTTGTTGCTACGTCCAAGCATCGCGGATCAGGAGAAGAGTGCGTGCGTGCGTGCGTGCGTGCGTGCGTGCGTGCGTGCGTGCGTGTGTGTGTGTGTGTTTGTGTGTGTGTTTGTGTGTGTATGTGTGGGTGGGGGTTGGGGGGGTGTCCGCAGCCCTTCGGCTATAGCCGTCTCGGCACGAGCACGCCCCTATTTCAGGTGCGCGCCGAGTCTGGGTCTCGCCCTCGCTAGAGTCCCCGCGACGCCTCCTCGGCTGCATCGCGCCGCGAGCCTCCACGCCGTCCACCCCCATGGGGCCGCAGCCCAGCGTCGTCACCCCCGCCGCCCAGATGTTGCCCAGCCCTCGCCTGTCGGAGAAGGTCGTGGCGGCCCCAGATGCGCCCCCTTCTCTCGCCGCAGCTTGCGGACTCCCGCGACCTCCAGGGCGCCAAGGAGGTGTCGTAGGGCTCACCGGCCTGCAGCGGTGGGAGTCTCCGCAGTTTGACACACGTGTTCTCCTTCCCGAATTTGGTTGTGTCTAGAGGTTTCTCGAACACGCTCGACTAACTGCAGTGGAGGTGTCTCTGATGAAAGGCAAACATGTATAGTTCTGCTGTGGTGGGTGCTTCTTGATATGTTTCTAAGAGGCCGCCTACTGGATTGATGGGTGTCTCCTGATATAGTTCAAACTTGTTCGCCTCCCTGATTGGTCGTGTTTCTTGATAAATGTCAAACGCTTTTTACTATGTGGTTGGTGGGTGTCTTTTGGGGCACTGGTGGGTATCTTCTGGGTATCGCTGGGTGTCTCCTGATTTGTTCTAACGCGTTCACCTTCCTGCGCTGGTGGTGTGTGTGTGTGTTTACCATCTTTCCAACATGCTCGTCCTCCTGCAGTGGCGGGTTGTTTTTAGCATAGTTCCAAGTACGTTCGCCTACGCGCATGTGTGGTTGCCTCCTCATCTGTTTCGAACATCTTCGCTTTCATGCATTGTTGGTGTCTCTTGGCATCTGTAAAACACGCTCGGGTACGTGGATTGGTGGGTGTCTCTTGAGCACTGGTGGGCGTCGCGATGCTATGTTTCCTGTTCATAGCGATCGCGGCGGGCCTGGCCACCCCAGGCGGCCCCCCGCGGCGGCGCCTCTTCCCCTCCCCAGCGTCCCTCTTCTTCATCACGCGCCGTCTTCTTCTCATCTTGAGCTGGCCGCCGCACAGTCGCCTCAGGCTTGGCATTGCATGTCGTTTGGTTCGGCAGCTTCAGTTCATTGCACGAGCATGCCTATCGCAGGTTGGCTTGTATGATGTCCTCGGCTCGCCTGGCGATTATTCGTTGGCTTCGCGTTCCAATCACGGTTGGGCCAGCGAACCGGGCATCGTGCCGATGTGTCGCGCCTCGCCTTAGTTCTCACACCTTCAGCTCGTGTCGTTTGAACGGTACAGCGGGCATGATTCGTGATGCGCGCTTATAGGGTCCATGTTTCGTCGCCCCCTCCCTCCCCCTTGCCCCTCTCCTTGTCGGTCGTTTTGTCCCCTCCTCCCCCTGCCGTTTCTCTCTCCTCCTGGTGTGCTGGCTGGGCGCTCCGCTTCCTTTGCCACGCCTGGCAGGGCGTTAGACTTCCGCAGGATGTCAGATGTAGCGAGCGCGCTTCTCGCCTCCTCCCCTCCTCGTCAATTCTCCTCGTCGTCGTCGTCGTCCCCTCCCCGCCCCGCCTTTCCCCCTCCAGAGGCTCGGCCTCCCTTTTTGCTTCGCCGCCGGGCAGGGCGGTATACAAATGCTGCCGCTCGCTGCCCAGCTGGACTCGCTATATTGTTTTCATACATGTATATACATACTAGAACTACGCGCGCGCTATCCGCGCGCAGGTTCTAGTCGCAGATGAGCCACGGGTGCCGCTGTAAGCCCCGCTGTGGTCACAACGACGATTTCCAGCGTTCTCGGGCCCATGCCAGTGACGCGAAGAAACGCGTAGTCAGATCGCTCTCGCTCTGCCGGGGCGGCCCTCGAGCGGTGGGAGGGGGAAAGCAATTTGTGAAATGATAGGGTATAGCGATGCCCCGCTCGCTCTGGCGGGGCCTGTCTGGCGCTCTGGCGGGGCCGTCCCAGGAGAGGAGGGAGGAGCACGAAAGCTGAGGTGTGAGGGGGGGAGGACACGTCAGCGGCGTCTGGGACACGGCACCCGACACCCGAGGGCGCCCCACAGAACCTGGCGGCCCTAGTCATGGCGACGCGCGCCCTCCACCGCGTGCCTCCGACGGCGCCAGCTTCCCAAACGCCGTTAGCGCCAGGCCTCCGGGCAGCTCCGTAGACAGCCAGACCCGACTCCTCTCGGAAGGGCACTCAGGCTCTGCGGGCGACCCGCTGCCCAACCGAGCCACAGCTGGCCTGATGACTGGGGCCGTCCCGTCTACGGCCTCCGACGCCAGGCATCACGCCGTTGCCTCCCAAGTGGCAGGCATTCTGGACGCCGATTTCCACTCGCACCGATTTCGTCAACACTGCTTGGCACATGTGAGCCAGCCAGAATGCACCGGCCGCGACCCTCCCAGCAGGCGGCAAATACCCTCCTGGCCTTCATGCCTTCTCTTCCTCTCAGCTCGGCGTTTTCCTCCGCTCCATCCCTGCTGCGGTCCTCGCCACCGCTTCTCCCACCGCGACTGTGTCCGCCCTCCGCCCATCTGGCGCTGCTCCCGCCGCGGCCTCCCTAAGCGCCCCGCATCCCGCGAGCAGTCCGGCCGCGGACGGCGGCTGAGGCCCTAGAGCTCTGCCTGCCCGCCTCCTGCCTCTCTTGCCTCCCTTGCCTCGTGCATGGTTTCCCCCTCCCGCACCGCGGCTCCACGCATCGTGCCACTCAAGCGGGACGTCCGCTTGTGCGGCCCACTTCTACTCCCCGCCAACCGTGCCCTGTTGGCCATGTCCCTCATGGCGGCGGTCTGCTCCGTCCTCGCGTGGAATGTCGCCTGTTGGGCAGCGCCCTCTCTCCTCGCCGTCCATGCCCAGATGGCTATGTGCCTGTGCTGTTATGGCTGCTAGCGCGGTGATCCAAAGCGATCCCACTTGAGGGCTGGGTTCCGCGGGCCCGCCCGCTTGCTCGCACTTGCTCCGCCTCGTCGCCGCGCGCGAGGCCGCTACCGCTCAAAAAGTGTGTGTGTGAGAGAGAGGGAGAGGGAGAGACAGAGAGAGAGAGACAGGACGATAGAGAGAGAGAGAGAGTCAACCTACGCCGCGCCGCCATGCGCGTGGCCGCGACGCCGAACAGTGTGTGTGTGCGTGTGTCTACATATGTGCGCCCGTGTGTGTGTGCGTGTGAGAGAGAGAGAGAGAGAGTGTGTGTGTGTGTGTGTGCGTGTGTGTGTGTGTGTGTGTGTGTGTGTGTGTGTGTGTGTGTGTGTGTGTGTGTGTGTGTGTGTGTGTGTGTGTGTGGGGGGGGGGGGGTGTGTGGTGTGTGTGTGTGTGTGTGTGTGTGTGTGTGTGTGTGTGTGTGTGTGTGTGTGTGTGTGTGTGGGGGGGGGGGGGGGGGTGCGACCCTCGCTGCCTCTGTCGGCCAGAGAGGTCTCGCGCCAGTCCAGGGCTCTTCATGGGCCTGGCCAAGGCTGGTGGCAGTGTGCATTTGCGAGTTTCTGCCTCCTGTATTTTTCGTCCCCGTCTCTTTTTTCCTCGCTCCCCACCCCCTCCTCTCTCCCGTGTCCCTCTCCCGCCCATCTCCCCCTCGCCCACACCCTTTCCCTTTCGCCCCTGACCCCTTCCCTTTTCCGCATTGCCCGCGGGAGGGGGGATGCCTGGGCCCTGACCAGACATCCGACGATACGACTTTTCATTTCGCGGCCCCAGAGCTCTTAACCACTTCCCTTGGGCAGTTTCATCCAGCATTTTTTGAGCACTTCTTATCATGTGAGTGCCCTGTCACTTGATGACCCCAGGGACCGAGAACAGCCCCCAGAGGCCAAACTTCAGGGAACGTCGCCGGGATTGAAGACAAGCAGTTCCTTGGGTGTCTGGGTGGCCTCCTCGCCCCCCCCGCTCCCTGAGGTACGTGAACGTCACCGAGCAGGACTTTCTGTTCTACTGGTTCGCCGAGGCCCAGTCTGGCGCAGGCGGGCTCGCGCCGCGCCGCGCTGGTCCCCAGCCGCGCGGGGTTCCGAACCCACTCATCCTCAGAGGGGGACGGAGAAGGAGGACGAGGAGGTGGAGGAGGAGGAAAGGAGGAGGAGGGACGAGGAGGAGGAGGAGGAGAGGGAGGACGAGGAGGACGAGGACGAAGACCAGTTTCAACCGACGACGCGTCAGCAATGTTGCAACACACCCTGCCACCAAGTTCCCTGTCCACAGGTCCCATGTAAAGATGTAGTTTCATTCTGGAAATGCCTCATTGGAAGACAACTGTTTGATATTCCCTAATTCTGCCCACGCATAGTTCCTGGGACTTCAGTGCCGCGGATCAAAGTGACTGGTGCGTCTTGGGACCCCCAGACTGCTGTGAAAAACCATTCTTGGGACTTCAGCGCTGCATCAGCGTGACTGTTGCGTCGTGGTAATCCTGAACGGGGCCAGGACAAAATTTCTGAGACTTCAGCCACGCGAGCAATGACAACTGCTGTAACTTTGAAGCGAATGCGCGCGGAGCTGAGGCGAGAGCCACAGTTTGAAAAAGAACCGCCCTCCTTCTTGGAAGCTGCTGCAGACTTGTACGACGAATGTGCGCGGCGCTCAGGCGAGAACCACATGGTGAAAACCGCCCGCCCTCCATCCGTGAAGCTGTTGCAAACTATTAAGAGGAATGTGCGCGGCGCGAACTGTTAAGACGAATCTGCGCGGTGCTCAGGTAGCCACATGTTGAAAACCGCCCGCGCTCCATCCGTGGTCCTTTTGCGCGGCGTTGTGGCAATAGCCACATTTTGAAATCGCCCGCCCTCTATCCGTAAAGATGCTGCGAATTTCAAGTTCCGGGGTCATAAACGGTGAGGAAGTATCCTACGGATCACCCGGCCCGCCCTACTGATCCGTTTGGGGATGCGACAGGGGGAGTTGTTCACAAGGACAAGGGGTGGAGGATGATGATGAGGAGGAAGAATAATATAATTAGGAGGCGGGGGGGACAGGGGCAGGAGGAGGAGGGAGGAGGAAGAGGAGGGGGATCTGGATGATGATATGGGCTGTCACAACTTGAGGGGGGAGACAAATGGTCGGCCTACCCAGTCCAACCCGATACCTCAATTTCCGATGGCCTGGTTGCATCACCTGGGATGACGGCCTGTCGACACAGGTGTCCACGATCCCTTCGATTAATTGCCCTGGAAACGCTTCTTGCAATCTCCGCTGTGCCCCTTCATGGTGCTCTCTGTACTGACCGCAACGACTGCAATATAAAATTATCCCAGTGCGACCCTACCTAGGAGTTTGAGCCCCTAGGAAAGCAGCATTAGTAGTACCAGTAAAGCTAAGCTAAAGCTAAGGTAAAGCTAAGCTAAATCTAAGCTAAAGCTAAGCTAAAACTAAGCTAACGCTAAGCTAAAACTCAACTAAAGCTCAGCTAACGCTAAGGTACAGCTAAGTTAAAGCTAAGCTACATCTAAGCTAAATTTCAGCTAAATCTAAGCCAAAGCTAAGCTAAAGCTAAGCTAAAACTAAGCTAACGCTAAGCTAAAGCTCAACTAAAGCTCAGCTAAAACTAAGGTACATCTAAGGTACAGCTAAACTACATCTAAGCTAAAGCTCAGCTAAAGCTAAGCTAAAGCTAAGCTAACGCTAAGCTAACGCTCAGCTAAAGCTAAGCTAAAACTAAGCTAAAGCTAAGCTAAAGCTCAGCTAAAGCTCAGCCAAAGCTAAGCTAAAGCTAAGCTAAAGCTAAGCTGAAGCTACGCTAAAGCTACGCTGAAGCTACGCTAAAGCTACGCTAAAGCTACGCTAAAGCTACGCTAAAGCTAAAGCTAAAGCTAAAGCTAAAGCTAAAGCTAAAGCTCCCAGGGGACTGGGGGAACCGCTCCCAGGGGACCGGGGGAACCGCCCGGGGCGGTTTACACTGCCCGGCCCCTTTAAGCAAAGAGAGTAAGAACCCTTCTAGGCAGAGCCTAGGTAGGGAATAAACCTGAGCTAAGATGAAGCTAAGCTGAGCTAAGATGAAATGCTCTAAGCTAAGATGAGATAAGCAACGCTAAGCTAAGGGGACGCAACTGGGGGAACCGCGGGGCGGATCCTGGGGGAACCGCCCGGGGCGGTTTACACTGCCCGGCCCTTTAAGCAAAGAGAGTAAGAACCCTTCTAGGCAGAGCCTAGGTAGTGAATCATCGCCAACATCAAGATAATCGCAAGCAAAAAGCTCGCGCTGCTTGGGAGCACGAACTGAATGGCCTGAATGGCCTGGGCACGCTTCCCTGGCACGTCCTTTTTCCGAAACGTGACACGCCCACTCCGTGCCCAGAGGCAAGGTGACGGATATTACAATAAACCATGGTAACAGTAGCAACAATGAGATTACGGCTTCTGCGAGAAGAATGCACGGGAAGCACTACGGGAATTGATGCGGACCCCATCCCCGCACCACCAACCGTCGCATCGGCTACATACAGGTCTACCATGTAGTTGTACTTTCAGTGACCTTCGGCCAGTCCCGCCAAGTGGGGTCACAGGCTCCCACATTCCCCCTCCTCCCTTCCTTCCCTGCACGTCGGGGGAAGAGGGGAAGTGAAGGAGAGCCCAACCTTCTCAATCGGGTTGTTGGTTATTCTGCGCAGTGCCGCAGTAGCGAGGCACACTGCTGGGAACGCTGCGCCGCTTCCGTGGAAGCGTCGCTGCCATGCTGTAGCGTGGCGTTGTCGGCACGTTGCTTGGCGTCTGTGTTGCCCCGTGGTGGCTTATGGAGGCCTCCTTGGGACCTCTTGTCAGTCCCCAGCGAGCCACCCCAGGATGACCTGCAAGCCGAGCGACACCCCTTCCTCCCCCTCCCCCTCTCCTCCCCCTCTTCCTCCTCCTCCTCCTCCTCCTCCTCCTCCTCCTCCTCCTCCTCCTCTCAACCGATCCTCTTCCGTAGCCACTTTGGACCCAGCCTTCCTTCGGCTTCACCAGTGACGAGAGAGCCGCACGAGGCCCCCCCAGTCCTCTCGCTGCCACGAGACGCCCTGGCGGCCATGCACGTGGAGGAACTGCCTTCCGCATCCGAGGTGGAGCTGCTGGCGCCCGAGCCCCGCTCCAGGCCTCGCCGCTGGGCGGCGGTCCTGCCGCTGCTGGTGGCCGCGGCTGGCTTGGCGTTGGTGGTGGCACTCTTCGGCGCACCGCGTGCCAGGAGGACTGCGGTCGCCGTGCGCGGCGCGGAGGTTCTGCAGGAGGAGGGCCAGAGCGACGGCGAGGGCAGCGGCGACGGGAAGGGAGCGCCAGCGTGTGGCAGCCCGGGAGGCGCTTGCCTCGACTCGGGGTGCTGCGTGGACGGTGGCGAGAGCGGTTACCAGTGCTACAAGAAGACGGATGGATGGGCGGAGTGCGCGGGCACGTGCGAAGAGGGTCAGGTAACCGACGGCGAGACGGATGGCACGTACGACCAGTGGGGCACGTTCAAGCCCACCGCATGGAGCTGCAAGAAGGTCGGTAAGCGCTCCAAGAAGGGCTGCACATTTTTGAACGAGACTGAATGCGATAAGGACCGCTGCGTCTGGAGCCAGCCGCCCGATGCCCGGTCTGCCTGCTTGCCGATCTGCGGCCAGATGCCCGACGAAGGGGCGTGCGGGTCGCAAGCGCACTGCATGTGGTACGACGGCGTGTGCAAGCCCGGCTGCGGCTCCGAGGACACGTGCCCCACTGACAGGTGCGTGGAGCAGGAGCCAGGACGGGTTGACACCTGCATCAGGGCCTGCTGGACCTACCGGAGCCAGGACGAGTGCCCGATGGCGCAGGGCTGCATCTTCGAGGGCGTCGAGTGCAAGGCAGACCCGTGCTCCTCGCCCGACGAGAGCTGCCTCGAGACCAAGTGCTGCAGCCAGCAGCGCGGCGCTGGGGGGATGACCTGCTTCTCGAAGGACAAAAACTATGCCCAGTGCAAGCGCAGCTGCTGGGAGGACGGCTGGGGCTGCGAGGAGCTGGGTAATCGCACCAAGCTTGCCGCCGGCTGCTCGTGGCCCGGGCAGGACTGCCGGCAGACGAGGCTGTGCTGCCAGGAGGGCTTCGCCTGCGCCGTGAAGGACGAGATGTTCACGGGGTGCACCCAGACCGAGGAGAAGCACACGTGGGACAGCAAGTCGATCCCCATCCCCTCCGACTGGGATGGCACCGTCCTCGGTGGCAGTCGCGCGGAGTACTCGGTGCCCCCCGCCGGCGACGGCGAGGAGAAGATGGGCGACGTGCTCTTCTGCTTCATGGCCTACCTGCCCGACTCGGCGGAGGTGGGTCTTATGAACCTCGCGAAGGAGCTGAACGCCAGCATCTTCGCGTGCGACTCCCATTCCGTCTACGAGTCGTGGGGATCTGGCTCCGCGGGGTGGGACACCGGCGAGTCCACGATCACCAACACCGACGTCTTCCTGAACGTCTGGCAGCAGGTGCGCGACGAGGGCAAGTGGCTGGCGGCGGACTGGACCGTCAAGGTCGACCCAGACGCGGTGCTCGTCGCGGAGCGCTTGAAGTGGCACATCGGGGCGTTGAACGCGCCAGCGTATAGGCCCATTTACCTGAAGAACAACGGCATGGACCCAGGGCTGGGCAACAATGGTTTCCTCGGTGCCATCGAGGTCTTCTCGAACGCGGCGGTCGAGATATACTTCGACAACTGGGAGGGCTGCAGGGACGCCTACGGCCTCAACACCGGCGAGGACGGATTCTTCAAGGGTTGCATGGACTCCCTCGGCGTCGGCTACATGCTGGACGCTAACATATTCAAGCCGGACTTCTCCCCAGGCGGGTGCGCCAACGGCGACATGGTGGGGTTCCACCCGCTGAAGGAGTGGAGTCAGTGGCGGTGCTGCTGGGACATCATCTTGGGCAAGAACAGGAAGGTCGACTTCGGAAAGTGCGACATGGGCGAGGACGGGATGGGCCCCGCCGAGGAGCCCCCCGACTACGTCATGCCGGGCAAGCGGTAAGTCGCGGGCGTGGTCGCCCCGCCCCCCTGTCCTGTCCGCCCCCCTCCTTGCCGCCGCTCGCTCTCCGCGCATCGGCAGTTGGCTTTTCTCCAACCGTCCTGTGCTGAGTTGTGCCCTCGCTTTGAACCCGCAGCTCCCCGCGTCTCACCTCCACACCTCCACCCACTTCTTCCTCTGCTTTCCGATGGAAATTTCGGCACACCCCTCACCCCTTATCCGTCTGCGCGCTTGGTCCGCCGCCCCCATCCGCGCTGACCCCAACCTCCATCCCCTTCGCGGCGTCCTGCGCTAATCAATCGCAGCTGGGTAGGGTTGGTTCGCTGGGCTAATTCGCACAACTAATTTTTTAGCGGACGAGTGCCGTCCTTTGCCCGCTCTTATGAGGAGTAGGCAACGCCCTGCGCTTCTCGCAGCCGCATAGGTTAGGTTTCGTCGCCACTGCTGAGTACCAGAATTTGGTTTAGTCGCCTTGCTACATTAGACCACGTCGCTCCTCTCCCCAGAGCAAAGACACTCGGGGGGTGGGGGGGCGGGCGCTCCCCTTCGCCGCGAGACATCGCGCGCTCCCTCGTGCTGGTGGTGTCTCAGTCGACCGCCGCGCGTGTTGGAGTAAGGCTGGAGAGTCCCCTTGCGCAGGCCCTGCGGACAGATTCAGCTACGCGTAAGAGTGACCTTTCGCCGGAGTGACCGGTGGTGCGGGCCCATTGGGGTCCCTCGATCGGGGAAGATGATGCGACAGCGGCGGCTTGAACGCTTGGGTATGAAACCCCTGCGCCCCTCGAAAGCCGCGCACCAAAAGGTCCCTCTTGCCTAGGGCCACTTCTGCGGGTAGCCGAGCAGATCATTTATACAACCATGGCGCCGGAAGGCGGCCTGTGAAAACTTTGTGGCCTGTGAGGCTCGTTGCTTGGCCGATGAGAAAAGAGTGAATGAATCGGGAGCTGACGTATATGAGTTTGAACATCCGCCCCTCCCGAAGCGAGCTCGAGAACTAGTCTGACTGGTGTCCCGGAAGGGTCTGGGCTCCGATTTGCTCGGGGGGGGGTTCTCCTCCCTCCCGTCGCCAGGGTGGGCGCCACCTCTCCTCCTCCGATTGCTCCATTCTCCCTTGCTTCCCCCCCCTCCCCTGCTTCTCCCCCTCCTTGGCGGCGCGCTGCGGGGGAGGGGGAAGGGGGGGGGCATGGGCGAGGGGAGGGGGGGCGGCGGCCCGTGTGGCCTTCGAGGGGGACGTCCCCCTCCCAGGAGCCCTGCGCCCCCGCAGAGTGCCGCCCTCCTCGCCCTGCCCCCTGGCTGCTGGGCGGCGGGAGCTGCGCGCTCCTCACGCCGACCCTGGCAAGGCCCGTTCTGGGTCCCAGGAGCGGTGTGTGTGTGTGTGTGTGTGTGTGCCTCGTTATCTTCATCTCCTGGGCCTCTCCTTACCGGTCGGTGGCACCTGGTGCGCTTCGCCTACCTGGTCTTCCTCTACCTCACGGGCGTTGACCTGGTCACGGCCCTCCCCGCGCAGCACTCGAGGATGGTGATCCCCAGCTCCTGTCCAAGGCGTACCTTTTCCTGTGCAAGCTCTTCGGCACCGCCCGCCCGCGCCCTGTCTCCCCAATAAGTGCTTCGCGCGCCCTGTCTCGCTCTTAACCGGAAGAGGCCCGCTCTCGACCCGCCGACCAAAAGTGTGTGTGTGTGTGTGCCTCCCCTTTGCTCCAGGGCGCATGCACCGATCCCCGGGCCACGGCTCGGCCCCGGCCGGTATCGGCGAGGCGGATGGCTGACGGGGCCCGACCCGTTGCGCGCCGTCGCCCTCCCTCGACCTTTCCGGCGCTTCGGATGCAACTCTTGGGAGGTCACATTCGGAACCGGCACTGATCTATCCCTGGTCGAAAAACTGGCCTTATCTCGCTGACGAAATCCCGCTTAATGCCAGCTGATCTGGTCTAATTCCGCTTAATCCGGCTTGATTTCGTTCAATCCGGTTTGGTTCCAGGCTTAATGTGGCCGGATTTGGCCCAAAGGCCCTGTGATCGGGCCTGATAGCACCTCAACGTTCCGACGAAGCCCTCCTAGGAGTTGCCTTCTACCGTCGCAGCCTTGGCCCGAGGTCCGAGGCAGCGCCGAGAGCACCAGCCAGTCTGATCGCGGGCCCGTCGCGCGGGGGCTGGGCCGCGAGCGGATGGCTGCCGCCAGCGCCCTCGCCGCGCGGCACCGCTGCGCCGCCGCGGCGCGGACGCTGGTGTCCTCGAGCGGTGAGCGGTCGCGGCCGCGCTGGGGTGACGGCGCCCTCGGCGGCCTCTCCAGGGTGCCGGCGCGGAGGTACCTGGTGACGGGCGCGGACGTGGAGACGTACCGGCGGGACGGCGTCGTGTGTCTCCGCGGGGCTTTCGGGTCCCACTGGCTGGAGGTGATGAGGGCCGCGTTCTCAGACGCCATGGATCGGCCCGGCACTTACGCCGAGTTCATCGGCAAGGACACCACCTGGAACACGCTCTTCGAGGCGGGCGCTGAGCGGCGCGAGCTTGCCATGTTTCAGGACCAGGTGTTTTTCCAGGATGCTGTCCAGCGTGTTCCTGCTTTAGCCGACGTTGCACTGAGGTCTCCCGCAGCGGAGATGATCGCAAGGCTCATGGGCTCCACAACAGCGGCGTTCTTCTATCATCACTTGATCATGAAACGTGGCCCCACGGAGCAGCCCATACCGTGGCATCAGGATTTGCCCTACTGGAAAGTCGATGGGAATCAGATTGGCTCGGTATGGATTGCCCTGGACGACATGCCAGCCTCGGCGAACGTCAGGTACGTGGCAGGCTCACACACATGGGGGCTCTTTCGGCCTCAGCACTTTGTCGATGCGACGCCCTACGAAGGGCGCGCCGAGCTCCCCAGTTTGCCAGACGTTGACGGGATGCTGCGTGACGGGCGGGTGCGTGCTGTGGCGTTCGACGTCGCAGCAGGCGACGCGCTGTGCTTCGACTCGCGCATCGTCCACGGCTCCCCGGGGGGCCGCGGCGCACCTGGGGGCGACATGCGGCGGGTCGCGCTGCGGTTCGGCGGCGACGATGCCACGTACTGCGACCGCCAGGGCGAGACCGCGATCCTCGGGGGTCGTCATCTCACCACCTCACCCATGCTGGTGGGGCCCATCCCGGGCCCAGGATCGGTGTCTACGCCCCTGGCCAAGCCAGCAAGGCACATACAGTAGGTCTGCGTCGTGCCGACGCTGCAGTGACCCCGCCGCGGGTGTTCCAGATTGAACGCCTCCTTTGGCCCAGAATCCGCCGATAGTCCAAGGCTGAACGATCCATGCGGTGCGAGGAATCCACGCCAGAGTCGTCACGACACGAACCTGCTGTACACCGATCCAGGGCCACGGATCGGCCATGCCACGAGCGGTGAGGTGGCCAGTCAGCGCCCCCCGAGATCCCGACGCCCGAGGTGGATGCCGCCCATGGCCTCCGCCACGGGGACCCCCTCGGCTGCGCCACCTTCCCCGTGGTGTGGCGCGCGCCGTGAGCGCAGCCGCGACCTCGGGGGCAGGCCCGCGGTGACGGGAGATGCCATGGGCCGGCGCTTGCCCGCGCGCTCGGGCCAGCGCCCCGCCTCCCGCAGCCTTCCTTCCAGATCTCCGAGGACAGGACTTGTGTTTCAATCCTGGCGTTTTCCCTCGACTTCGGCCTTCGGGCCTCAGGAACGGATCCATGAAGAAACATCGCCTTTAGGAAAGGGGTCAGCACCTCCCAGACATCCGATGTCTGGACTTTCTCCACACGGGTTCCCCAGAGGTCTGGTTCTTTTCCCCACGGCCGGCTCTTCATCCGAAGTCGTTTTCCGACGGCCCCAGAGCCCAGCGAGGGCCCCCAGAGGTCGCAAACGGCGGAGCATGTCCGCCTCGAGCTTCTCGTGACGCTGGAGATCTGCCTCTCGCAGGGCCCATTCCGATGCGATTGGTCTGGTTCGATGTCGGCTACAGCGATTTTCGGGCGATCCGAGGCGGCCCGACGCTCGCATGGCGCTGTTGCGCATCGGGATGCAACGCGATCCTGACAGGGGCGCGGGGGGAGAGGTCGGCGTGTCGACCCAGCCCGAGACTCTCAATCCCCTTAGACAGCCCACTAATTAGGCACACTGACAGAATCGCAAACTTTGTCCCCATGCTTAGACGCAGGCGAACGCGTGTGAGAGCTACTGGAAGCCAACTGCCCCTCAAGCTCCTCGACGAACATCGGCTGGCCCAGACATGGTGGCTCCATGCTAAAATGTCCACCCGCGATGTAAACGCACAAGGACGAGGAAGCGAAACCACCTCTCTTGTACACTATGAGCTGTCTGTGATCCGAAAGGCCCTGACAGTCACGAAGGTAACAGCCGATGACGCAGCTCGGGTCCCGGCCTCCGAGATTGACGCATGCACCAGTGGCCCGGTGGGCCACCGGCTCTGCCCTCACCAAGGGCTCCCCTAGTCCGACGAAGCGCTTGCATCAAATTCCCGCCCGTCCTGGGGCGCCCGAGTTTCAAGCCACCTTAGCTGGCAGCGTGAGGGCCTTCCATCCGTCATGGAGCGTTCGCTGCGGAGCGCCCGCCATCCGATCTTCAATCAAGTGGCTCCTGAAGGAGAACGACGTGAACCGAGGCGGTCAGCGGCCAGGCAGTCTTGGGCCGAGTTCCGAGCCGCGCAGTTGCACGTCGCCACTTGCAACGCCAGAGACTGGCCCTCAGGCCGCTCCGCAGTTTAAGCACATTCAAATTGGCCGACTTACCCCAGAGCTGGGAGCGGCGGCAGGAGAAGTCGCCAACACGCGCGGGAATTGCACCTCTCACGCATAGCGTAGCTTGACCGAACATCTACCGAACGTAGCCCTGGCAATTATATCGAGCAGCATGACGGAGGTGTTCTTTCACTGCTTGAAGCACAAAGTTGCAGGGGTACCCTCGAAGATGTGAACCTTGCTGTAGTTGACGTTCCCCTGCCGTACTCACTTGGACTTGGCAGGGAGGCACTCGTGATTCTTGTCATCGCTAAAGGGTCTGGCTTCGCGGAAGCGAATGTCGCCATTGGAGGTTTCGCCCAGGTCAGCATCAGCACCAAGCTCAGGAACAGGCTGGGGCTGAGCATCCCCAGTAGCAGCACTCCCTGCCGACGGGCACGAACCCTGCGGCTCGCCTACGGCAAAAGCATCTGTTGGCGGCGTTTCAGTTCCCCGTCGCCTCAAGAAGACCTTCAGCGCCTCTGCGGCGCTTCTGACCTTGCCTCTTGACGTGGTCGGCGTGGGCCTGCTTGAGCTGCATGGCCTTGTCGAAGACGCCCGCGAACAGGGAAGCCGCTGCTTCCATTAGCTTGTCGTTCAGCTCGGTACGGCAGGACTCCAGCTCGCGAGAATCCTCCTCGGTAACCTCATAAACGTCGATGGTGAACTAACCATGCGTACCGATGATGTCGAAAGCTTTGGCCTGACCAGACCAGAAATGAGAGCCTCGATCTTGAGCTTAGAAGGTGCGGCTGTGGAGGCTGGACCCGAAATCGCTGGCATGATGTCACTGGCCAGCTCCGCCACCACCTGCTTGTACACCCCATCGGCATCGTCGAGCTAGTGTTTCGCCGCGGGCACGATCTCCAACTGGGCCTTGAGCTGCTCCTGAAACCTGCTCCAACTTCGATACCTCGTGCGACATATTGCATTCCAGTTGCTGAACACGTCCGTGAGATTTTGAAGCCCTCGTCTGGAGGAGGAGGAAGAGGTGGACGAGGACGAGGAGCACGAGGATGAGGAGGACGAGGAGGACGAGGAGTATGAGAGAGGAGGGAGGAGGGAGGGGAGGGGGAGGGGGCAAGTTAGGTGCGCTCGCGTCAACATCTGACATCCTACCCCTCCCACCCATCCCTTACCATGGCGCTGATTTTCTCTATCCGCGGACGCGTGTCGTAGCGGACCTGTGGCTCCGCGCGCGTGTGCGTAGTGGGTGGTGGTGCGCGTGCGTGCGTGCGTGTGTGCGTGGTTGTGGTTGTTGTGGTGGTGGTGTGTATGTGTGTGTGTGTGCGTGTGTGCGCGTGTGCTATGGTGTGACGTGGTGTGGCGTCTTGGTGGTTTGATGGTGGGCCAGGTGCGTACGTGCGTGATGGCGGTGGTGGTGGTGGCGGTGGTGTGTGTGTGTGTGTGTGTCTGTGTGTGTGCGTGTGTGTGTGTGTGTGTGTCTGTGTGTGCGCGCGTGTGATGTGGTGTGACGCGGTGTAGCGTGGTGGTGGTGGGTGGGGTAGTGCGGTGGTGGTGGCGGTGCGCGGTGGTGGTGCGCGTGCGAGCGTGCGTGCGTTGGTGGGTGGAAGTGGCGGTGGGTGTGCGTGCGGCGGGGCGGGGCGTGGTGCGGCGCGGTGGTGGCGGGCGGATGGGCGCGCGAGAAAGAGGCCCGCGCTGGGGCGAGAACGCCATCCTGAACGACGGAGGCAAAACACCGATCCGAAAATGAGGCCCACGCTGCAGCGGGAGCACGATTCGGAACGATTCGGGAGCAGAAATGAGGCCGGCGCCTCAGCGAGAGCAGCATTTTGAAAAAAACGCAGGCGAAAACCCAACTCCCGGAAATCCTGTGTGTAAAAAAACAATACGCGATGGGGGGGTCTACTACTCCCAGGCCGCCTTCGGGGGAAGAGGGAGAGTAGTATTCATATTGAGCAATTGTGAAGGAGGGACGGGGGAGGATGAGGATGAGGATGAGGAGTGTAAGAATGATGATGAGGAGGAGGAGTAGGAGAAGAAGGAGGAGGAGGACGAGGAGGAGGAGGAGGAGGAGGAGGATGAGGAGGGCGATGACGACGACGACGACGCCGCCCCAGGCCCTGACGCCCCGCTCATCGTGTGGAGCAACGGCGGGCCGGGGTGCTCGGCCATGGAGGAGCCCCCTCGCGGCACCCTTTCCTGGTCACAAGAGGTCGACCCCTGAGGTGAGGAATCCAAGCCCCCAGAGGCGCCGCGACAAAATCCACTGCAGCTTGGGCCTCGGGAGGCCCTTCTTTTTAGGGTGGGGTTTTAATCCATCACCACCGGCTGGGGGATCGATCTTCGGTGACCCCAGCAGGCGGTGGATATAGTGGGGTGCGTGCGCGGAGCTGTCTGATGGGGGTTCATGACATGCGACCCTACAGTTGAGAGAGATCTCGCAATCGCTCTTGCTCAATCCAAGTCTGCTGCTCGGGGAGCCGATGCAGCACCCGGAGCTCCCGGAGCTCGCCGCTCCTGTCGGCGACCCAGCCCCGTGGGCGGCTTCCCTGGCGGCGCTCTGGGCCCTGGCGGCGGCGGTGGGCGGTTTCCTTGGGCACGAGCTGCTCGAGGAGGGCCTGGCGCCAGACCCCCACGGGGTGGGGCTCCCACCGGCGGCCGAGCCGGTGTGCGCGGTGCCCCAGGCTTGGGGTTGGCCCGACGGTCCAGCGTGCCCCTCCTGCCCGGAGGCCCTTGGTGCAGGACTCGGCCCTGCAGGTGGTTGCGCACCTGCTCGCGGGAGAACTCTGGAGAGCCGGGGCTGGGCGGTCGAGCACGGCCGACGGCCTCCTCCCCGACGCCGTGGTCCTGCCCGCCTTGCAGATGTCACTGTTGATGTTCGGAGCGGGCGAGGCGTGGTGGAGTAAGCTGTTCCCTGGTCAGACGTTCGGGGTGCAGTATCGTGGCGATGGGGTCGATACTGGGAGGTTATCCACCCATGTGTCGAGGATGTCTCGGTGTGGTATGTCCTGACTCCCGATCTTGATGAGTGTGCTGAAGCTGTGTCTGATGGTGTGGGTCCCGACATCGTGAACACTTACTATTTCCCACAAGATGAGTCGAAACCGGAGTGGCTGACGAGGAAGATCAACCGTTTCAGGGGCCATCCGATGAGGCGGGAGTTCCCGGACCGTCTGAAGTGGAACGCCACGAGTAACGGCAGGACCGCGCCGCCGGCCACCTCGGGCGCGCTATCCCCCACGGGAGACACGTTGGCTGTAGCGGACTCTGTTCCGGGGCTGGCCAGGCCCCGCGAGACGGCTGCGTGGCAAGCAGGCTCTCGTTGACGGCGACGTCGCCGATCCCGCCTCCCAGGCCCATTCTCCAGAAGACCATGGAGGCTGGCGCAGCGGGGGCTATCGCCCGCCCCTGGACGGGCGGCAGTGGATCGCGATGGGCTGCGGCGACTCTCTCTCTCTCTCCTCCTGCGACGAGGTCGACTTGGACACGAGGGAGCACGCGCATGCGGGGGCGCAGGACATGCTGCTGCGGCACGGCTCCTGCTGCGTGGGCTGCTGGCTCGTCCGGACGGTGGACACTCCTGACCTGGTGACGATGGAGCGTGGCCGCTGGGCGCCACCCGACACGGAGGTGGGCGGCACGGCGGCTCTCCCACTTCAAGAACCTCCTCTGCCTCCCCCCGCTGGAGACCCACCAGCTCCGAAACTGGCGCCCGTCGTGCCCGCCTCGACCGGCCGACCCCCTCCGCGAGGATTTGGGCTTGGTGAGCGAGTGGGCCGCCCCGAAGAAGGAAGAGGACATACTGGCGGACATCCGTACCCTGTGGGTGGACTGCGACAGCCAGGGGAGGCGATTGAAGTCTTGGCGTGATGCGACCAGACGGAGCACCCAGGAAACGTTTCCAGATACGCGCCTGTAATGAGGCTGGGGGCGACTCTCTTCTTGGCCAAACACTTCGCCAGGCATGGACGTGACCCCCGACGGTGGCTGCCTGAATAGTTGTGAAGGCGCAAGATGGACGGATCCGACCGCGCCTATCATGAGATGAAAATCCGAAGCGACGCTCTGTATGTCGCGGGGGTGTACGACCAGCTCAACGTCGGAGCCCACGCCTCGCTGGAGACACTGGAACGCTACATCCAGACGAGCATCGATGTCTACCAAAACTCCCAGAAGGTCACGCGGGAGGACGCCAGGCTGTACATGGGCACTGGCACGCCCGACATCCCCGTGAGCCCCGCGCTGCAGTCCTTCGCCGCACGTCGGGCCAAGGACCGCGCGGGCGTGGCCCCCGCCCTGGGACAGGGCGGGCCCAGCCGCGGGCGGCGCAGCCTGCCCAGCACCGCCGCCGAGAATGGGGAGACGAGCGACGCGGCTGTGGGCACCGGCGGCGGAGGTGGACGTGGAGGCGGCCGAGTCGGCGGCGGGCATGATGGCGGCGGCCGTGGCCGGCGCGCATTTGCGCCTTGCGCCGTCGCTCCGCAATGAGCAGCAGCCCCACCAGGACGTCTCGCCCTCCTGCCGGTGGGCTGGTGAGTATATATTTTGAAGGTGCTGGAGGACTCCGTCCTCCAGGGACGGCCTACGCGGGAGAACTTTCTCTTGCCCGCGCCCGTCGTCCCCTGGTCCTGCCACATCGACACGCGCGGCAAAGAAGGCTTGGGGCCAGGCTAAGAGCCTGACGCGCGCGGCAAAGAGAAAAAGGCTTGGGGCCAGGCTAAGCGCCTGACCAAGATTGCGCGGGAGTCCGTCCACGGACTGAACTGGCTTGCCAACAATGACACCCGGGACCTGCCTCAGGACGCCGCCGCCTGTGGACTTTTGACGCACAAGGTGGTGGCCTTCGTGGAAGGCCTGGTCACGGACTGGGAGCCCATGCTGGAGGCTCTCTCGGGGCGGGAGGCCCTTCGCGTCCTCCTGCGCGGCTGGTCCCGGCGCGAACTCGTGACTGGCTCCGTGAGCTTGGCGGCCCTCGACGCCGAGCTGGTGCCTTTGCCTTCCGACGCGCCCCCCCCCGATCGAGGCGCTGCTGGGCCCTGGTGTCGCCCGATCTGTTGGAAGCCTATCATGAGCTGATGATGCGACCCGAGACAGAGATCGACGACGTCGGATTCGAGCCGCGGAGGATCATTCCGCACGCCGGCCGAAAGCTAGTTAATGCATCACCGGAAGGCGTACCATGCTTTCGTGACACGATTATGAAAAACAGGCGTGATCCGCCAGCCTTCAATCCAGGAGGCGGATTGGCAAGTTCTCCGCGCGGAAGAGCACGACCAAGTTGAGGTTGATCTTCGAAGCACTGGTTCCGCTCGCCGCCGGGCGCCTGGCAGTTCACCTCGGAGTCCTTCGCCAGCGTCGACGCCTGCAGCCTGAACCAGGGCATGTTCCTGGACCTCAACCTGTACCTGTGGGGTGGCCGACGTGAAGGACTGCCTCCACCAGCTGAGGGCGCCGGCCTGGTTCCGGCCGTACTTCGCCTTGCTTGAGGTGCCCGCGCGGGTGGCGGGGCTCGGCGAGTTGGACGGAGCCTGGCTTCGGCCCGCGGATGCTGCGCGGCCGACGTCCGCCTCCATGAGCAGGGGCTTCGCGCGGTTGCAGCTCCTCGCGCGGAAGGCCAACGAGAAGCTGGCAGCGGCGGCCCCTTTCCTTGCGGGGTCTGAGCCCTTGTGCGATCGGTCGCCGCCCCCGGCGCAGGTCGAGGGCCGGCCCCGGCGTCGCGCGCGCGCGGGCACCCTGGGGGCCTTCTCGTCGCAGCGCGTGCCGAGCTCGAGCCAGATCGTCAAGCGGTGAAAGAGCGACTGCGGGCGGCGCGGGCCCGAGCTCCACGGTGGCGAGGTGCAGAGCGAGGAGATCAGGGCCCTTGGCTGTCGGCTTGGCGGCCAGCGGCCGCGGGCGTGCACCGCGCCAGAGTGTTTTTTTTGTGCATCTGGGCTGCGATCGAAGAACTGTCCGCCGGGGCAAGTGCTCCTGATGAGCCCTCCAGCGCTGGGCTCGGCCGCGTCATCTTTGTCAGCCTAATCCAGAGAGGCCTGTTGTCCGCGTTTCGCACTTGTTCTCGGCTCTGTCGCGCGCGCTGCGAAGGCGTCGTCGCGCTTTGGCCATCCGCCCTCGATGAGATCCTAGCTGGCGAAGGGGTCGTAATTTTTCTGCCGCGCGATTGGAGTTGTAGTTGGAGCGAGCTCATCAATCGGAGCGACGCGGGCGAACGTAGATATGGCGCGCGCAGGTTTCTCTGGGGCCGCGCCGACGTCGCGCTCCGCGGGCCGGATTTTCGAGGGGGGTCGGTGTCAGTTCGAGGGGCGCCGGGCCAGCGAGTCGGCCCTGGGCGCCGCCGGCCTGGCCAGGGTCTCTCAGACTGGCGCCCGGGCCCCCCCGCTTCCCCCGGACTTGGAAAGCCTTGAGGGGCCGAGCGGTCTGAGTGGACTGGCCGCGGTTTCGATTTTCCCCGGGCCCCTGCTGGGCTCCTCTAGACGGACCGTTGGGGCCTCGCCCCTGGGGGGCCTGGGGGCTCTCAGAGAAGATCATGATCCTGGAGGCTACTGCCTCGGCGGTCTGCCCTGATTTCCCCTGGTTGCCATTTTAGAGCCTTGATGCGCGGTGATACCTGGGTGTCGCGCTGGCCTTCGCCTGGCCCCGCTTGCGCCAGTCCACCCTCTTCATTCATATCCGCCGCGCGGTCGCGCGTGGCGTGGCGCGAGATGTAGTTTCCAGTTCTCGGCGGACCCTGAGCGATTTGGACTCTGGGGATGAGCCTTCGCGCATGCGCGGCCCGAGTTGTCGCGCAAAGTCTGCTCTCGTCAAGAGGGCGCGCGATGCTGCCCCCCCCCCCCCCCCCGCTCTTCCGCAACCGCTTCGGTTCGAGCCTGGCTCCTCGCGCTGGGCTCGCCGGCGGTCCAAATTCTACCGCCCGCGCGCGCCCCCCCCGCCCGGCGCGGCGTTCTGCGGCCCGCGGGGAGCTCCACCCCAGGCGCCAGCGCCGCCGCCCGCAAAGCCCCCCCCCCCCCCAGCGCAGCGCTTCGCGGCTCCATGAAGGAGCTCCACCGACGGCCCCAGAGCTGCCGTCCGCATGCGGCCCCCCGCCCCCGCCCAGCTCAGCGCTTCGCGGCCCCGTCGGGAGCGCCACTTCGGCCCTGGCGCCGCCGCCCGCGCGCGCCCCCCCCCCCCCCCCCCCCCCTC